ATTCTATCCGGCACCTCTGCCACAGGCTAACAGTAATATTAAAAAGGAATCGATTTAATAATTAATATAGTGGGGTGAAATAGTTAAACGCGAACTACCTACCCAAGTAGCGGCACAACACCATAAACCGGGTCTATGCCCATATTATTCATTAATGGGTCTTTGGCTATGATGTTCAAATAATGTATTATCCCTAATGCATCTATGTCATCATCACCCTCTGATGGTCCTATATCGATTGAAATAAGCATCGTTTCGGAAGGAGTACCGGCGTCAACGATCTGGTATCTTGGATGTGAACCTAGACGAGATAGCCGAAATATCCCAACGAGTGCGATTTCTTGAAGAAGTCTGGAAAAGAAATCTGCCGATGGGGGTATACTGTCTTTGGCAGAATCTGGCTTCAGACGAAACATACCGATGACAGCTGCCGCTGTAAAAAAAGGAAAAAAGGTTAGATTGGTAAAAATCACGGATCTTTAAATAAATTAATACCAAGTGGTGTACCAGATGCAGGAACTTGAAAGTTGGCTGATTTAAATTAAAAAATAAAATAAAATAAAATAAATATCAGCCGTCATTTTGTATTGCCAAGGAACTTAAAGATTTACTGAACATTACTTGTTGTGATCCTCCAAATTCCCGGTTTAATCCCTGGTAGAGGTTCCTGAAAATTCTTACTCTTTATAAAACCATATTGTATCGCTACGTAGTATTGTTTTCCTGGCTGATTAAATGTACTAGCAATCAGTGGCACTGTCACCGTCAACTCATCTTTGCTAATTGTACAATCAGTCCCCTTGGTCGCCTGCCAGGTTCTGGTTCTAGAGTAATCAAGAACCTGGTAAATTAATATATAACCTTTAGATAAAGAAACAGTATCATAGAAGGTAATGCTAATATTAGTAGCTGACGGCAAGATAACACCATTAATGGTTGGACTGGTGGTTCGAACATGAAGATTATTGTGACCATAATCTAAATAATGTTAAAATAAGTGGAGTTATCATAAAACCCTAATATTATTTGAATAATGATCATGAACTAATCATACCTAAATCACCAAAAACCTTGGGCAATTGGTAGGCGAGTAAAGTCCAAGAGTTATTCGATTCCGGTTGAGCAAGTAAGAAGGTATTATTGTTCGTAATACCACTCGCGGCAAAAGTATTTGCAATCATCGATTGCGGTAGGTCGACAAAAATTTTGTCGTCATTCTCTCCGTAAGCATAAAGATAGTATTCAGTTGACCCATTTAATAATGGCATTTTGGCATTCATCGTACAGCCACCGAAGGGCATTTCTTCTACTATCCATCTATCAAAGCCAAGGCTTACATTTGCATTTTGAAGTAAATTGAGTGTTGGAGAGTAGGATATTATTTCCCCTGACGACAGGAAGAATACTTTTAAATAATAAATACTAAGTCCACTCTGAGTTATGGGGAACGTGCATACTAGGCCAACGCCGCTAAAATTAATGTCGCAGAAAACGAGGCCCTCTATTAGGCTGCTGTCGAGAGATGCTTGATATAAGATACATGGGCCTCTAGTAATAAGCTCTTGAAAAGAATCTGGTGTCAAGAAAATTACGCATAACCTAGAAGGTGTTTTGATTGCGGTGGTTTTATTAGCGGAAAGTGGTGATGACAATGATGATGTGCGGCTAACGTAAACTATAGCGTATCCATAATCATTGGTGGGTAATATGTAAGAACCGTAACTAGTGAAACCAGGAGTTTCGATAGAATTTTTTGAATGCAAGCGTAAAGTTCCATTTACACTAAGTGCGCAAATGGATTTTCGTTAAAAAATTAAATCTTATCAATGTCAGAAAGTAAAAAGAATAGGCACAGTACGTATAATATTGCTGCAATTCAGCTGCGGTTTCATTTACAGGCGCAAATCTAAGAAAAAAGTACGGAGATGCGTTTAAAGTGATGGTATAGGTTGGAAACCAGTGACCATGTTGATCTTTACGGGATCGACCATAGTGCGATCGTCTAATGGGATG